GTCTGGGAAAAGGAACAGCTGTATAGACAGGATAAAATACTCTTCTGTATTCAGACTTTTTCACTTACATTCTTAGGATAATCTGCTACCACAAATGATGGTCTAATGCCTATCACACAAATACTAACTATTCAGGAATTTCCTTTTTTTTTAACATAGCTACAGTGAGGTCTGGAAATAGTAGTTTATCAATATAAATGCTACTACTCAGACCCATGGTACAACACATTCTTTTTATGAGTTTATCAATTCACAATGTTCCATTATCCAAGGCCTTAACATGAATATGATAGGTACTATATAAATGTAAATGAGTTTTATCCAAAGGCACTTTACCAGACACTCTAATGCAATATCTATTTAACAGGACATACAAACTATAACCAAATAATTTAGTACAGGAAACAAATATTTTATTGGGTGGTGATTTTTAATATATAAACATAATTTAACTATCCAGGTTCAAAGTTGGCCAGGATGCAACAACTCTCCTTTTGCATTCGCTACAGTAATCTCATGCTTTACTTAAAAAACAGCACACCTAAGAAATCACCATGTAAGCATCATGCCAGGGTACTAGGCTGACAGTAACTGAGAAGTAGCCCCCACCTACTGAATCATCAAGAGCACTTCCTGCAGCATGTGACCTTTTCTAAAGTATTTGTTCTGCCCTTCCCTGCTTAAGTGGTTTCACATCCTGTCTGCAGGCCCATGATGCACACATTGGAGCCGTTTGCCTGTTAGAAGCAGGGACTGAAATCTGCAAAGAAGTTGACAAGCAGAATCTCAAAATAATCTGCCTCCTGCCGCTCCTAACCACCAAGGAGGAGAACCAGGGCCTGAAGGGCCACTGGAGCTTCTCCATAGCTCTAGGATTTGGATTAATTCCTGCCTGCCCCATTTTTTAGGAAATTCCCTTGATTCAGGCTTACTTAGAATTTTATATATAGGCTTCTGGGTCAAATAAATACAATATTTGTAATGGTCCCCAAGTAGGCATTGCAATTCACAATTCCTGGGGGGGTCTCCACTTCTGCTGCTGTTGTTGTCTAGGTGAATCATAGAATCATAGAATAATAGGACTGGAAGGGACCTCGAGAGGTCATCGAGTCCAGCCCCCCGCCCTCAAGGCAGGATCAAGCTCCATCTACACCATCCCTGACAGATGTCTATCTAACCTGTTCTTAAATATCTCCAGAGAGGGAGATTCCACCACCTCCCTTGGCAATTTATTCCAATATTTGACCACCCTGACAGTTAGGAATTTTTTCCTAATGTCCAATCTAAACCTCCCCTGCTGCACTTTAAGCCCATTACTCCTTGTCCTGTCCTCAGAAACCAAGAGGAACAAATTTTCGCCTTCCTCCTTGTGACACCCTTTTAGATATTAGAAAACCGCTATCATGTCCCCCCTTAATCTTCTTTTTTCCAAACTAAACAAGCCCAGTTCATGAAGCCTGGCTTCATAGGTCATGTTCTCTAAACCTTTAATCATTCTTGTCGCTCTTCTCTGTACCCTTTCCAATTTCTCCACATCTTTCTTGAAATGTGGCGCCCAGAACTGGACACAGTACTCCAGCTGAGGCCTAACTAGTGCAGAATAGAGCGGCAGAATGACTTCACGAGTTTTGTTGATACAACCTGTTGATACAACCTAGAATCATATTTGCTTTTTTGGCAACAGCATCACACTGTTGACTCATATTCAACTTGTGGTCCACTATGACCCCTAGATCCCTTTCCGCCATGCTCCTTCCTAGACAGTCGCTTCCCATCTTGTATGTATGGAACTGATTGTTCCTTCCTAAGTGGAGCACTTTGCCTTTCTCTTTATTAAACCTCATCCTGTTTACCTCTGACCATTTCTCTAACTTGCTAAGGTCATTTTGAATTATGTCCCTCTCCTCCAAAGAAGTTGCAACCCCACCCAGTTTGGTATCATCTGCAAACTTAATAAGCGTACTCTCGATCCCAATATCTACATCATTGATGAAGATATTGAATAGTACGGGTCCCAAAACAGACCCTTGAGGAACTCCACTTGTTATCCCTTTCCAGCAGGATTTAGAACCGTTAACAACAACTCTCTGACTACGGTTATCCAGCCAATTATGCACCCACCTTATCGTGGCCCTATCTAAGTTATATTTGCCTAGTTTATCAATAAGAATATCATGCGAGACCGTATCAAATGCCTTACTAAAGTCTAGGTATATGACATCCACCGCTTCTCCCTTATCCACAAGGCTCGTTATCTTTTCAAAGAAAGCTATCAGATTAGTTTGGCATGACTTGTTCTTCACAAACCCATGCTGGCTATTCCCTATCACTTTATTACTTTCCAAGTGTTTGCATACGATTTCCTTAATTACCTGCTCCATTATCTTCCCTGGGACAGACGTTAAACTGACCGGTCTATAATTTCCTGGGTTGTTCTTATTCCCCTTTTTATAGATGGGCACAATATTTGCCTTTTTCCAGTCTTCTGGAATCTCCCCTGTCTGCCATGATTTTTCAAAGATCATAGCTAAAGGCTCAGATACCTCCTCTATCAGCTCCTTGAGTATCCTGGGATGCATTTCATCAGGTCCTGGTGACTTGCTGACATCTAACTTTCCTAAGTGATTTTTAACTTGTTCTTTGTGTATCCTATCTTCTAAACTTACCCTCTCTCTGCTTGTATTCACTACGTTAGGCACACCTCCAGACTTCTCGGTGAAGACCGAAACAAAGAAGTCATTGAGCATCTCCGCCATTTCCAAGTTTCCTGTTACTGCTTCTCCCTCCTCGCTAAGCAGTGGGCCTACCCTGTCCTTGGTCTTCCTCTTGCTTTTAATGTATTTATAAAAGGTCTTCTTGTTTCCCTTTATGCCTGTAGCTAGTTTGATCTCATTTTGTGCCTTTGCCTTTCTAATCTTGCCCCTGCATTCCCGTGTTGCTTGCCTATATTCATCCTTTGTTAGTTGTCCTAGTTTCCATTTTTTATATGACTCCTTTTTTATTTTGAGATCATGCAAGATCTCCTTGTTAAGCCAAGCTGGTCTTTTGCCATATTTTCTATCTTTCCTACACAACGGAATTGTTTGCTTTTGGGCCCTTAACAACGTCCCTTTGAAATACTTCCAACTCTCCTCAGTTGTTTTTCCCTTCAGTCTTGCTTCCCATGGGACCTTACCTACAAGTTCTCTGAGCTTATCAAAATCTGCCTTCCTGAAATCCATAACCTCAATTGTGGTGGTCTCCCTTCTACCTTTCCTTATGATCATGAACTCTATTATTTCGTGATCACTGTCCCCTATACTGTCTTCCACTTTCAAGTTCTCAACTAGTTCCTCCCTATTTGTTAAAACCAAATCCAGAACAGCTTCTCCTCTGGTAGCTTTTTCAACCTTCTGAAACAGAAAGTTGTCTCCAATGCAGTCCAGAAACTTATTGGATAGCCTGTGCCTCGCTGTGTTAGTTTCCCAACATATGTCTGGATAGTTGAAGTCCCCCATCACCACCAAATCTTGGGCTTTGGATAGTTTTGTTAATTGTTTAAAAAAGGCCTCATCCCCCTCTTCCACATGGCTAGGTGGCCTGTAGTAGACTCCTAGCATGATATCACCCTCGTTTTTTACCCCTTTTAGCTTAACCCAGAGACTCTCTACACAGCTATCTCCTACGTTCATCTCCACTTCAGTCCAAGTGTGTACATTTTTAATATACAAGGCAACCCCTCCTCCCTTTTTTCCCTGTCTGTCCTTCCTGAGCAAGCCGTACCCTTCCATACCAATATTCCAATCATGCGTCCCATCCCACCAGGTTTCTGTAATACCAATGATATCATAGTTGTATTTATTGGTTAGCAATTCCAGTTCTTCCTGCTTATTACCCATACTTCTCGCATTTGTATATAGGCATCTAAGATACTGATTTGATCTTGCCTCCCTGTTGTGCCCTGAAAGTCTTCTTCAGGGATGAGTTAAAAGCAGGGGTGGGAAATATTTTTTTATGGGGGACCATGCTAAGATTTTGGTAAGTGGTCAAGGCCACACTTTTCTATGGAGGGGCTGTGGGGTCTGGGACAGAGGTTGGGTGCAGAAGGGAGCTCAGGGAAGGGGACTGGGGTGCAGGAGAGGGGGTGAGGTATGAGAGGGAGTTTGGGTGAAGGAGGGGCCTGTGATCTCAGGCAAGGGATTGGGGTGCAGAGTTCTGGTAGGGGTATGGGTGAAGGAAAGGATTCTGGCCTGGGGAAGGGGATTGGAGGGGGCGGGGGAAGGAGTTGTAACCTAGGGCATGGGGGAGGAGGGTAAAGAGAGTTTGGTTGTGACCTGGGACAGGGGATTGGGATGCAAGATCCAGGAGGGGGTATGGATTCAGGAGAAGGACTGTGGCCTGGGGTGCAGGATCTGGGAGGGATTTGAAGGGTGGGAGGGGGTGGGGTGCCAGAGGCAGGCTTTGGCTGGCAGGTGCATACCTAAACAGCTCCCAGTTAGTAGCACTCTCAGGCAGGCTTCCCTTCCAGCAGCCCCAGACTGCTGGCTGGCTGTGCATGTCTCTGTGCTGCTGGGGAAGAATGCTGAAGCTTTTTCCTCCCTCCCTTCTACCTGAAGCTCAGAGAGCAACAGGAAGCAGCTAGATGTTTTAATTGGAGCTGCTCCCAGTTGCAGGGGTGGGCGCGAGCCCTATCAAAAGACTTGGCAGATCATATCTGGCCCACGGGCTGTATGTTGCCCACCCCGAGTTAAAAGAGTAACAGTATGTTGTTTCACACTGAATCCTATAAGAGGAATGGCTTAATTTTTTAAAGGAAATCTTAGAATTTATGAGAAATTACAGGATATAGCAAAAATTGTGGAAATCCCTAAACAAATCACATAATCTGTCATTTTTTGTGCCCAAAACTCCCTTTAAAAACTAATTGTACTAAAAGGATTTTATCTAATCCTGAAAAAACAGGACGGTGATACTATTTTTTCCACTTGAAGGGGGTTGAGTCAGGAACTGTGTCAACTCACTTGGAACAAGTCCATTGGTTTGGAGCAGCTCTTGAAATATTCCATCTACATCCAATTCAAACCTTCCAAAGTCAATAAGAGTCTCTCTCTCAGTTGATTTGAACAGGCTTAGGTCTAGGCCCCAAGCATATCTCCAGTTGTGAGACCCGTGAGTCCTCTCTTTCCATGGGGAGGCAGGAATAGACCAGGAGGTAAAGCAGAGACTTTTATAGTTTAAAATGAAATGAGAAAAACAGAATTTTCTCAGACTCAAATTAGATATGAGTCAGTTCATTACTTCAACTGAACTGAAAAGGCAGCAGCAGAAGTTCCTTAGTCTAGGGTTTAGATAGAGACTGTTCTGAGTAACCCCACATCATAATCTTCACTTTACAGCGTGGGTAATATTTTTCCCTAAATGTGTTATTCCGTTTTACTATTAGTATTGCATATCGTCATTCAACAGAACTGGATTTATTCTGGTTTTTTTTTTTAGGATGTTTGAAGTTGGTCCCATAGTATTTCTTTCATAATGTAAGTTGGGTATTACAGATACATATTATTGATAATGACAGTATTGATGCTTTACTCTAAATGGAATTGTTTTAAAGTTATGTACTAACTATATGATCTATTTATTTAAAAAGATCATACTGCACTAAGCTAATGGTCAGAAATACTGTTGAGCAGATCTTCCTTTGCTGATTTAGATTTATAAATTAGCTAATTATAATTATAAATTATAACTCAGCTAATTAGTTTAACATTTTATAATAATTTAAAATTCACTAAAATTCATTTTTATAACTAATTTTAAAAAACCCAAACAATTCCACAAGGACAAAGTCTCTGTAAATTCCAGAATTACTTTAACACTGGGCAATCTTAACTTGCTAAATTTTAAGACTTGTGTATTCTAATTCCAGGTATGCACTTGCCCTTTTTATATTTTGTGCATTACTAAGAAAAGGCACTTGTCATTTTTTGTTACAATAAGGAAAAATCTTAAAGTCATAAGGTGGATCTCAGTTTTTGATCATTTGTTTTTCCTACACTCATGGATCTCTTATTGAAATCTACGAGAATTCTGCATATATAATGAAAACAGAAGAGAGCTGAAATCTGCTATGCAGATCTGAAATCTGAAAAATCTGAAAAATATAATTTTACCTTTAATCTGAAAAGAGGAGGTTACTCACCTTGAAAGTAACTGACATTCTTCGAGATGAGGGTCCCCGTGGGTGCTCCACATTAGGTCAGTGCGCCGCTGCTAAGCCGTCGATTGGAGATTTTAGAGCGATGTCCCTGGGGCTGCGCATGCGTGTATCTGCAGCTGCGTGCTCCTAGATGGCAGGCATTGCGTATGCGTGAGCCCCTCCCCCCACTCCTCAGTTTCTTTTCTACCCCGGAACGATGCCAGTGAGGAGGCCAGAATTCCGAAGTAGCGGGGAGGAAAGGAGTACCCACAGGGACACTCATCTTGAAAAACGTCAATGACTGTCGAGGTTAGTAACTCCCTCTTCTTCTTCTTCTTTGAGAGTGCTCCACATTAGGTGACTACAATGCTATTCCGAGTTAAGGAGGTAGGGATTTCGGCTCTGGCAGAAAAGCAGTGGAAAGGACCACTTTATCAAATTTCAGGATGGAGAGAGGTCCCTGCATAAGTGCATGGTGCTTTGCAAAAGTGTGGTCCAAGGACAAGGTAGCAGCTGAACAAATGTCTCCTATGGGTACTTTGCAGAGGAACTACTTCTATTGAGGTAGACAAGGCTCTAGTGGAGTGTGCCTTTATATTGTCTGGAGGGATTACTTGTGATTGGGAGTAGCAGATATTAATACAGTCCAAAATCTGTGATGAGAGGGCCTGACCCTTATTTTGGTTCGCTATTGACATGAACATTCTTGGAAATGCTTGAAAAGACCTAGTTCATTGTAGGTAGAACAAAAGCATTCTGCATAGGTCAAGGGTATGCATTGTCCTCTCAAAGGAGTTGGTTTGGGGAAAAAGGTAGGAAGGTATATAGTCTGATTGAGGTGGAAGGATGAGTGTACCTTAGGGAGGAATTTGGGGTGGGTACGTAGAGTGACCTTATCTTTCAAAAAGGTGTGTATGGTGGCTCTGCCATCAGGGCTGTGATCTCTCCCATCAATCTCGTTGAGGTAATGGCTACGAGAAAAACGGTCTTCATGGATAAATGCAAGAGAGAGGTGGTGGCCATTTGTTTGAAGGGTGGCCAAGATAAAGTCTTCAGTACAAGATGGAGATCCCACGGTTGTGTTGGTGGGGTGATATCAGGATAAAGTGCTTGAAGGCCCTTTGAAAACCTCTTAGTGAGTGGATGCGCAAATATCGATGAGTTGTCTATCTTAAGGTGGAAGGTAGTAATAGCAGCAAGATGGACTTTAATGGAACTTATTGCAAGGCCCACTTGTTTAAGGTGCAGAAGATAATCAAAGATGACAGGTAAGGAGGATGTTGAGGGTGCTATCTGGTGGTATACACACCATGCAGAGAATCACTTCCATTTTTGAAGGGTGCTCTGCGCCATACTGTGTAGAAGGACTGTTTGTACTTGTGAACAAGTCAGTTCTAGCTCAGAGAACCATCTAGGAGCCATGCCTTCAGGTGTAACGAGTTGAGGTTCGGTTGGGTGGCGAGGGGTCCTGGTGGAAGAAGGAGATCTTGGCTGTGTGGTAAGTAGATTGGTGGCACATGGGACATCCTCATTAGAAAAGGAAACCCTGGTTGATGTGGCCATGATGGAGCTATGAGAATTAGGTGTGCTTTGTCTCTCCTTGCCTTGTGGACTACCCTGTTCAACAGGCGTATGGGGGCAAATGTGTATAGGAGGTGGGATGACCAACTGATGAGAAAGGCGTCTCCCAAACACCCTTTGCAAGATGCCTGTCCTGGTGCAGAATAGGTAACATTTTTTGTAGGATTGTGTGGCAAATAGATCTATGGTGGGGTGACCTCACTGTCGAAAAATGCATAACAATATGTGTGGGTTTATTTGCCACTCGTGGTTGGTAGGGAGGGCTCTGCTGAGTGCATCTGCCGTCATGTTTAAGGTACCTGGAAGGTGCACCGCTGTAATGTTCATGCTGTGCTTGAGGTACTAGTTCCAAAGTTCTATGGCTTCTGTGCAACATGCTTGAGATTGGGCCCCACCCTAACGGTTTATGTAAAATGCTGCTGCAACATTGTCTATGTACAGTCTGACATGATTGCTGACGATGAATGGGAGGAATTTCATGCAAGCGTATCTGACTGCACAGAGTTCTAGTATGTTTATGTTGCTGCTGGACCACAGCCCCTGGGCCATGTGATGTTGTAGGTGAGTGCCCCATCCTATAAGAGACACATCTGTCATCATGGAGATGGATGGTTCTGATGGATGGAAGGGGACTCCAGAACAAAAGTTGCGTGAACTTGTCCACCATTGCAGGAATTTCTTTACCAGTGTTAGGAGGACTAGGGATTTGGACAGTGGGTGGACACTGGGCTTGTAGACCTGTCCCAGCCATATCTGTAAAAATCCCATGTGGAAGTGAGCGTTGCAGACAACAAAATTGCATGCTGCGATGTCTCCCAGTAGCTGAAGGCATTTGTGTGCGGGTGTTCAGGGATTGGATTTTAGGGTGTTTGCCAAGGCCACAATTTTTTGGAAATGGTCCGTTGGGATGAATGTGGTGACCTTTGTTGAATCGATGCATGCTCCTATAAACTGGATATTTTGTGTGGGAGAAAGCGTTGATTTGGCTTTGTTTATTTGCATGCTAAGGTGTTGGAATAAGTGTCTTGTGACTGACAGCGAGCGGCAGGAGTTGTTGTGTGAGTGTGTTTTGAGGAGGCAGTTGTCCAGAGAAGGGAATATTATGACAGTTTGCTTCCTCAGGTATGCTGTGATGACTGCCAGAACCTTTGAGAAGGCCCTCAGGGCTGTAGAGAGTCCGAGGGAGAGTACTTTGTATTGGTAGTGTTGTGAACCTACAACAAATTGGAGAAAACATTTATGAGCTGGAGGGATGGAGATATGAAAATATGCATCTTGCAAGTCGAGGGATGAGAACCAATTGTCTTCTTACAACGCTGGTATAACAGTGGCAAGCGTTACCATCTTAAATCCATCAAAATGAATTTGTTGAGTGCTTGCAACTCTAAGATGGGTCTCCAGCCTCCTGACCATTTTTCCTTCAGGAAGTAATGCTAGTAAAAGCCCTTCCCCCTAAATTGTACAAGGACTAGTTCAATCGCCCTGTGTGCAAAAGGTGTTCAACCTCTTGTTGAAGCATATTCTCGTGAGAGTGGTCTCTAAAGAGGGACTAGAATGGGAAATGGAAAGGGGGTAGAGACACAAAGGGAATAAGATAGCCTTTGTCAATTATCTGGAGAACCCATCTATCAGAGGTTATACGCTGCCAGTTGTTAAACAATGGTAGTGAAAAATTTAGCTTGCAAAGGTAGTGTTGGAATGCATGAGCAGCTCTCAGGACCCTTGACCTGCTGTTCAGATTTGCTTATTGGATTGCTGCGAGTGTTGCGAGTTGGTAGAGGGAGGGCATTGTCATTGGTTTCTGCCTCTGATCTGTTGGTATTAGTCTTGTCTGTTATAGTATTGAGTATAGGGAGGGTATTGAGGTCTAGAGTAGGGCTGATACCTGTATTGTCTCCTTCTAGCTGCCGGGTTGCGGGTCCCTAGAGAGTGAAGTGTTGCTCTGGAATCCTTAATCGAATGCAGAATTCTGCTGGTATTTGCTGCAAACAGCTTCTGGCCATCCAATAGAAGATCTTCCATCGTCAACTGGATTTCTCTTGGAAAAGGAGTTAAACCATGAAGCCCTTCTCATGACTACAGCTGTTGCTATAGATCATGTAGCCATATCAGCAGCATCTCATGCAGCCTGCAAGGCTGTTCTGGCAACCATGTGACCCTCTGATATCAGCGCTTTGAACTGCTGTCTTTTTCCCTCAGGAATGTCTGCAATAAAGTCATTGAGTCTAGTGTAATTTCTGTAGTCATATTTACATAATAAAGCAGCATAATTGGAAATACAATATTGTAAAATGGAAGATGTATAAACTGTACATCTGAATGAATCAAGTCTCTTGCTATTACAGTCCAATGGGGTGGACCGGAATTGTTGCTGCTTGGTTTTCTGTTGTGCAGTTTCCACTATGAGAGAGTTAGGTACTGGGGGTGTGTGAAAAGAAACTCAGAGCTCTTGGGCGGAACGTAGTACTTCTTGTCTGCTCTCTTGGAGGTAGGAGTGGTTGATGCTGGGGTTTGCCACTCCACCTTTGCAGGTTCCATTACTGGATTAATTGGTAGTGCTATCTTAGAGGGTGTTACAGAGTGCAATCTGTCTGTTAATTCATATTGGTTTTTGGTAACCTTCTGGAAGAGGATGTTTAATTCAGCAGCCACACCTTTAAAAAGGTCTTGAAAATGTGCAAGGTTGTCTGAGGTAGTTGAAAGTGGAAGCACAGCCGCTTCCTCTGTTGGAGCAGGTTCATTTGACTTGAAGAGTACGTCTTTGACTTGGTTGGGTGGGTCCTCTTGCTGTGCTTGCCTCGTAGGTGGGGGGGGGAGAGTATGGTGAAGGGAAATATTGCACTAGATGTCATTTCCAACCATGATGGTGTTTTTGGTGAGGTTGCCAGTTGTTCAAATAAATGGAGGTACCCAGAGATTGCTATACCGTGGAGGCATGTTCCCATAATTAGAGAATGACCTGGAAGCATAAATAGATTGATCTGTGTTGGGGGAGTTTTTTTTGAGAGAACCCCACATAAAGGACATCTTCAGATTCAGATGAAAATCATTCTTGAGATAACATCATTTGTGATGTTAACACAGCAGGAGAATGTTGCTGAGCTGGAATTGACAGAGCTGTAGTAGGAAGCACTGGTTCTATTTGATGTATTAGATTATGCCCTGGTGCCAAGCAGACTAGGCACCTCTGTGGTGGAGGTGTCCGTGCCAGGTGATATGGCAGACACCGTGCTCTCATGCCATGTTGGCAAGATCGATTCAGTGCCAAAAGTCGCAGCTGATGAGGTGGGCATCTTAAAGCCTGATGCCTCAGAGCAGGGTTTTGAGAGTCCCACTTTGCTAGCTGTGCTAGCAGTTCCAGAGACGCCCGGAGTGTCATAATTGTTTAGGCGTGGTGCTGCTGCTGCTCTCGGTACCGGCTGTGCGGGAGACTGCTGTTTCGGTGCTGGCATCTCCTGAGGCAAGGATGAGGCTCACTTTTTGGCGGGCTTTTTGCCTCCTCATTGTTTCTGCTCCTCGGGCTGTTGACCCAGCTCTGAGGCAGCTCTGAGAGATTTTTCAAGTAGAATTAACTTAAGATTCAGGTCTCTCCTGTTGTGCCCGCAATTTCAGTTTTGCACAATGTGGGCATTTTTGAGAAACATGTGCCTCTCCGAGGCAGTGGACACATTGTGCGTGCCAGTCCGAGATGGGGATAGGATCTTTGCAGGTAAAGCAGAGCTTAAAACCCAGTGAGCAAGGCATAGCACCGAACAACTATCTAACTACAGGAAGGGGATAAACTGGAAGAAAAAACTATCGTATTCTGGGTGGTTTTTTTTTAAAACTAAAGTAAGCTATTAACAACTGATATCAACTAGGGAGAAAAAACCTGGTTCTAAAAAGGGATTAGTATCTAAAAACGTGAATGAGATTGGAAGCCCTACCAATCTCGCTCTCCGGCTGGCGGTGGTAGAGAAGGAACTGAGGAAGAGGAGGGGGGCTTGCACATGCATGATGCCTGCCACCTAGGACCACGCGGCTGCAGATGCGCACATGAATGGCCTCTGGGACACTGCTCTCACATCTCTGATCAATGGCTCAGCGGTAGCACACCAACCTAATGTGGAGCACCCACAGGGAAGAAGAACTTCGCATTGTGTGCGTGAGAGAGAGATAGAATTACCTGAAGCAACAAAAATAAACCAATCGTTTGCCATAATGATGAAAGAAGACACTCTCATTAAAGGAGATGAACCGGATCAATTTTGCTGGATTAGCACGTCTTAATTTCCTATAATTAGTACATGCCTGGTTTTATTTCCTAAGTGGCCCAAACAACATGATTCTATTCTCTCAGGCCTTGACTCAGCAAAACGTTGTATTTAAATTTAACCGCACAAGTTACCCCATCCAAATTCATTAAAATCAATTGGATAAGTAAAATCTTAAATGCTTTCCTAAATAGGAATGGGATTATTTTCATGCTTACAGATAAGCATGTGCTTATTTTTTTTTAGTTGAGTAGAGGTCTCAGCACCTAATCCAAAACCTTTTCAAGTCAATGGCCCTAAATCACATCAACATCATTTCTTCAAAATCTACAAAATCATATCTAAATAAAACTAATTACATCCTGAGTCTCATTAATATTATTTATACATTCTTCCTTGTTACATAGAGATCCGTTAATTATATGAATATGCACACACTGAGATTTATATTTTATGCTTTAAAATATTCTCTGGTTACCTATCATGTCGGATGATCGGTGTAGGCAGTACACATGTAAGAAGCCATCCAAATTCAGCCAGCGTATGCAGTAAAGGTCCATAATCTGTTTTAATTTCACATCCCTACAATAATAAACCAATATAAAACTAGTAAAGTGCACTCAGCAAAGTTTCTATCTATCTATCTATCTATCTATCTATCTATCTATCTATCTATCTATCTATCTATCTAATAAATTACAATTTATATTATTATGTTATTGCAGAAACACTTTGAGGGGGCCTAATTGTGCTAGGCTGCATATCGGTGTTTCAAACTCAGTACCAGTCCTCAAATCCTCCTAAAGGGCCAGCAGACAACCCCTTCTGGCAGGGCTCCAGGCATGTAGGGGCCTGAGTGTTCCCCACCCCGCACATCTTCCAGCACCCACCCCCCGGTGCGTCTTTGGCCCCAACAACAACCCCAAGCAATTAAAAACCTACAGGGGTCGCTGCTGCCATCACCAGCAGTGCAGCAGACCTAGAGTGGCTTCCTGCTGCTAGCTCCATATAGCTGCTGGCATGTTCCTGTTGCCTAGGAAAAGTGTGTTCAGAAACAGCCCCTCCATAGGTGTAAGATGTGAAATTACTGACTCATTTTGTGAAACTGATTAGATATTAGTGATGCCAACTCTCCACTCTCCTGATCTGATAACAATTATTTCCTGATAATTGGAGGGTTTTTTTTTTGTTTTTTTTTGCTGGAATGCCTCAGACACATTATTAGAATTAAGCCAGATCTGGGAACTTCACTGCCTAATGCCTCATGCACTGCTATCAACTGTGATCTCTCTGATTTAGTAGATTATGCTTGACTGTTGGTGCATGGCATTACAAGAGAATCCCAGCCTTCTTTTTCTTTTCTAAAGGAAAACTCCAGGTCTCATAGTTTGCAGAGAAAAGCTAGAAAACATGCCATGAGTTCAGCCAAAGACATCAAACACCACATGCCAAATAAAAAGACCCCCACGTGTATTTTTATCTGTGATTGCAAGAAGCCATTATCTTTTTAGGAAGTGGGGGAGCTGATTTATGAGTTTTGAATGCTTGGGGCTCGCAATACAGTACATGAAAGTTGATAATGTCTCCTCCTGTGTCCAGAGCCCAGACAGAGACCAGGATCCTACAAAAGGCACAAAACTGAGTTCTCCCCTCCATGTCCATGCACTGGGATGCCCCCTGCTAACCTATACATGTTCGCACTGGAATCCCATCTCCCTCCTCCCTGCTACCATCTGCATCTTTGCTTTGGGATCCCTCCTGAGATAACCAAAAGTGAAATTCATTGCTCCCGCTTTGCTGGCTGCATTTGTGCGTCATCTCGGGTGGCTCCCTGGCCAAAGCAGTTTGCATCATGATGGAGGCAGCCAGTGCCTTCTCAAACTGAGTGACACCTTCTGCACCTGGGACTATGGGTTGGCACTGAGGGCCTGGGTGCTGATGGGGGCCATGTGCATGGTGAGTCCCTAACTGCTTCCCACCCACCCTTAGGTGTGTTGTGAACAAGACACAAGAAGTCATTCTTCCGCTCTACTCTGCCCTGGTTAGGCCTCAGTTAGAGTATTGTGTCCAGTTCTGGGCACCGCATTTCAAGAAAGATATGGAGAAATTGGAGAAGGTCCAGAGAAGAGCGACAAGAATGATTAAAGGTCTAGAGAACATGACCTATGAGGGAAGGCTGAAGGAATTGGGTTTGTTTAGTTTAGAAAAGAGAAGATTGAGGGGGACATGATAGCAGTTATCAGGTATCTAAAAGGGTGTCATAAGGAGGAGGGAGAAAAATTGTTCATCTTGGCCTCTGGGGATAGAACAAGAAGCAATGGGCTTAAACTGCAGCAAGGGAGGTTTAGGTTGGACATTAGGAAAAAGTTCCTAACTGTCAGGTGGTTAAACACTGGAATAAATTGCCCAGGGAGGTTGTGGAATCCCCATCGCTGGAGATATTTAAGAGCAGGTTAGATAAATGTCTATCTGGGATGGTCTAGACAGTATTTGGTCCTAACATGAGGGCAGGGGACTGGACTCGATGACCTCTCGAGGTCCCTTCCAGTCCTAGTATTCTATGATTCTATGATTCTTCTCTGGGCTGGCAGACTTGCAAGCCCAATTACATAACTTTTGCAAAATATTTTGCAAGGTGGATTGGGGAAGTGCTCAGGCTGTAGATGGCCCCTAGGCCAGCTCTATGCACCCATATAACATATAACAAACAAAAAGTCCCTGCTTCAATTTTCACAAACTCTGTGTCAGACTGTGGCTAACAGGTGGATAAAACAAAGAGATGGGGATATTAACTCAGGATATGAGTTTAGGACGAATCCTTAATTGCTCAAGATACTTATGCAAACACCTCACATGCTTAATGTTAAGTGTGTATTTGAGTGCCTTGGTGAGTTGGAACCTAACAGAAAATTTTCAGTTTGATTATACTAGTAGAATAATCATTGTTAATGACTACACTTTACAGTCTGGAAAACATGTCATTTGCTGAGTTAAGCTCAAAGCTAATAATTTTTGCAGATAAAAATGTAATGAGATAGTTGTTAGAAAAACATCAGTACCTAGGAAAAAATTATTTACATTTATTTTAGGATTCTAAGAATCTATGACCTGCTGTTCAGATGGAAAATTGAGCAAGTCAACTTCCAAATGTGCTAATTACTTAAAAACCTGTTTTACCATACAATTTCCCCACCTTTTCCGGCAGCAGCTCCTGCAATACATGAATGCTCTTAGCAGGAGGGCAGACAAATGGCCTTTATCATATAGGTAATACCAAATATCTCTGGATTATCCAGGTATAGAAGTAACCGATATTTTCCTTCCCATTAGTGGTTTCTCTAGGTGGCAAAATTTGCAGATGACACAAAACTGCTCAAGATAGTTAAGTCCAAAGCAGATTGTGAAGAGCTTCAAAAGGATCTCACAAAACTAGGTGAATTGGCAACAAAATGGCAAATGAAATTCAATATTGATAAATGCAAAGTAAGGCACATTGGAAAACATAATCCCACCAATATTTATAAAATGATGAGAGTAAAAAAAAAATCAAAAGCTTTTAATTTAAGAAATGTCAAAATAAAATATTTCAATTTTTCAGAGATTTTTTTCCCTACTGAAACAGTTAACTGAAATTAACACAAACTTACAAATGTTTTGGTATCACTAACTTGCATTTTTTGATGAAAAAATGTCAACAAGTTTTGCTCAGATCCAGTTTGATTTTGTTTTGAGAATACCACTCCTTGTCAAATTGAAGTCTCAACTGCATTAACTATAATTCTTGAGAGGATTGCAAATTGGAAATTTTGAACCCCAATAAATATTATAGTTATTTCATAATATACAAAGATATTAGGGTTATAAAACTGAATCTTTTTACAGTGTGCTGAACTGACACATTAATAAACTGTTTAAATGTGTCCAAAGCAAAAGTTGGCTTAGAGCAAAATAAAGTGGAAGGTATATCCTGTCTTTGTAACTGGAGCTTGAGAAGGGTAACATTGTAACATCACTAATTAAAAAGGCAATCACATGTGATCAAATTTACTGAGAACCGAAGGGAGATTTCTGAGATCACAGGACCTGACAATACTAGATATTGAGAAATTGAGAAACCTTCTATAGAGGTTTTAAATTCCTAGCTTGACAAAACACTGGCTGGGATGAGTTAATTGGGATTGGTCCTACTTTGGGCAGGGGGATAGAATCGATAACCTCCTGAGGTCTCTTCCAACCCTAGGATTCTATAATTCTAAATTTATTACTTAAAGCATAAGACTTGAGAGAGGTTACTGGTCACCTATCGAAGTCAGTAACCTGGCATGAAAATGTTTTATAAATTGACGTAGAAAGAAGAATTAAAACACATTTCCATACATTACATTAGCCTGGAAAAACAAATAAGCCAATCTTAAACAAGTGAGAAAGATGATTTTTTTCATGTATTTTTGATCAAATTCCTATGCTACATGTAGGGTCTGATTTGCTAGATCTTATTTGCCTATTTTAGGGGTTTGATTACAAATATATAAATTCATCCTTCAGTCTTTTGATTTCAGTGGTAGTCATGTTTGGGTAGATGAATGCAAGAATACATATTATATTTGTATCTAACTTTAATACAAATACACTAAAACAAAACAGAAAATTAAAAATAAAATATTCAATTGGTAAATAAACAGCAAGTTACCTCAATGACTGTCCATTGTTCTACAACTATTGTGTCATTTCCTTTCCTGTTAGAACCTGGGACTCCTGAACCTTCTTCTTCATATATAAATAATCCTTCTAAAGATTTGGGTATGTGATCTCCTGTGGAATCAAGGACATGTATAAGGTGAACTATGAAGACATAGGTGAACTATGAAGACTATCCTGCAAAGACGTGCACACCTTAAGAACGTAAGAACATAAGAACAGCCATACTGGGTCAGACCAATGGTCCATCCAGCCCCGTATCCTGCCTGCTGAAAGTGGCCAATACCAGATGCTCTAGAGGGAGGGAACACAACAGGTAATCCTCATGAGATCCCTCCCGTGTCACCCACCTCTAGAGAATGAGAGGCTAGGGACCTTCTTAACTTTATACACAGATTGCTTATAGTCCCACTGAAATCACATTATCTGAGACATCAAATGCATTCATTTTTAATGTTTTTTCAATTATCTGCCACTTCTTTGTAAGATATGAAGTCATATTCTTTATCAAATTACTGTATTTCCCTTTTCTACAGGGAGTCAGCTATTAATTAAATGCAAGGTGCCATATTATTAAAAACATTAGCAAGTAGGTGCACATTTGAGTCTGAGAAAGATAACCACTGTTTATGTAGCACACAGATACAAAAACTCTATACTCAACTTTGAAATGACATATGTATGACCAAAACAAATATGATTGTTGGAGATGGGAGAGGATTACAGAAAAACAAAATATAAATTACAGTATTTATCCATAATTATCTTTACAAAAAATGTAATGCACACAGGAAGCTCCTGAAATAGAAGTAAATGTAGGAGGATTCCTGATGGAAAGTAAGTTTCAGAAAGCACCTCCCTGACTTACTTCTTGTGAGAATTTGAAAATATCCAGCTGGCTCAAACTAAAGCTGTGCATCATTTGTTGGTTCATTTTCTGTATTTGATAGCATAGTGCCTCTCCTACAAGCCCATCTGGAAGCCCTTTCTGTAGTGGTACCTCAATAGCCGAGAATCTTAACTAAAAAAAATCAAACTAAATTTAAACAGAAAATAGAAATACTCTTCAGAATACCAGCTTTAAATTCTCTCCAATACACCATGAATGTAAAGGCTGTCTCTGTGACATAACATGGTTATGCAGAAATACTGTGATACTGTAATTTTGTTTGAAGAATAACTGAAAGAATTCCACAGGTGGGCTGACTTGGATTTATATCAGATGATCATACATTTTCTAAATAAGGCATGAACTTGATCCTCTCATACATTGGTTTTCCAATCAATGCTAAAAGAGTCACAATAATTTCACTTCTTTTGGGGTTTGCATTTTCAGTAAATCTTACCTGTTTTTGGAAATATGAGTTTTTATAATTACATATTCAGAGGCATATATGCCTATCATGCATTCATAGAAATAGAAAATATAATTTTAACATCAGAGGGGTAGCCGTGTTAGTCTGAATCTGCAGAAGCGATGCAGACTACATGCATCTGACGAAGTGGGTCTTTGCCCACGAAAGCTTATGCTCCTACACTTCAGTTAGTCTATAAGGTGCCACAGGACTCCTCATCGCTTCTGCATAATTTTAACATACACACAAAATGCTCTTTTCCAAGCTAAAAAATCCCAGTTTTATTAATCTCTCCTCATATGGCAGCTATTCCATACCCCTAATCATTTTTGTTGCCCTTTTCCAAACCTTTTCCAATGCCAATATATTATTTTTTGAAATAAGGTGACCGCATCTGCATACATTAGTCAAGATATGGGCATATCATGTGTAAGTCTCCTTACTAAAGAAGCCTCTGACTTTTACTGGGAAGATCCTTTGTGCTGTAATTTATTCCTAGACTACAACTCCCATAAGCCCTTGGGCAAAAAAAAGGGGGAATGTGGTTCTTCTATAAAATCGTGACTGATGTGGAGAAAGTAAATAAGGAAAAGTTATTTACTTGTTCCTATAACACAAGAATTAGGGGTCACCAAATGAAATTAATGGGTAACAGGTTTACAACAAACAAAAGGAAGTACTTCTTCATACAACACATAGTCTACTTGTGGAACTCCTTGCATGAGGATGTTGTGAAGACCAGGACTTTAATGAGGTTCAAAATAGAACTAGATAAATTCATGGAGGATAGGTCCATCAATGGTTATTAGCCAAGACAGTGTTCCTAGTCTCTGTCAGCATTTGGGAATAGGCCACAGGGGGCAACATCACTAGATGTTTAGTTGTTCTGTTCATTCTCCCTGGAGCACCTAGCATAGGCTACTGTTGGAAGACAGGATGTTGGGCTAGGTGGACTTTTGGTCTCACCCTGTATGACCATTCTTATGTTCTTACAACCAGAGAAGAAAATAAAACAGTCATAGCTTTTTTTGCATTAGAAATAGGGAACTGTGTTGTGGCTCAATATTGTTATGCTTTCTCTTTCACTAAATAGGAAAGTAGGAATACTGTTACGTTTTGTTTTTATAGCTTCTGGAAATACTTCAGTTTTCCTTGCTAAAATGCTCTTTTTTAACTTCCATAGTGCCTGAGTCAAATGGCCATTTCTGAAGCTGTTTGGGCTACATGTGTTATTTATTTATATTGCACTAGAGCCAAACATTTATGAGGTGATGTACAGACAAAGAGGAAGACAACTCCTGATAAAAAGAATATAATGCCAATTTTTTTTTAAAAGTGAGAATAAAAGATGCAACACATAAGCAAAATATTTATTTTTGCCCTGAAAGGTTTTAGATTTCAGTACTGAGAGGCCCAAATGTTCAACTGATTACATAAACTCTTTTAGGTTGAGGTCAAGAACAAACAAATCAAGCAGGAAAGAATCCAATAGCTAAATTCAGCTCCTGTCCTTTTGTTAACTCTCTCCCAGGTTACAGACACTTTATCAGACAGAGAAAAGCCTACCCACACATTAGATCGTCTCTTTAAATGTGTTCATTTTAATCCAGATTTATTATTACCAAGATCCTAACTGTTTAATAATTGATTAGGCTAGACAGAATCTGAGGCACCAGTTGTTCAAAGCAGGAAGTGTAGAAGGCCTAAGTAAGATGTGCCCCAGGTGTTAATGATGGGAGAGGTCTTCATAAGAATAAAATGGTAAAGACTTGTGGAGAAAGGGAGTGTGACGGGGTGAGGCAACCTCGCCACTATCCCCAGCAAGCGGGTCGGGTCGGTGCCGGGGTGTGTGAGTGGCCGACTTGGGCAGCGGGGGAACTGGCACTGCCAGATGCTCGTGGAGAGGGGGCGGGGTGGAAACGCGGCAGCCGGGGATTACCAGGAGAACGGGAGAGCACCCGCGGCCGGTGGCGTTGCATGACGTCACTGGAGCGATAGAAGGGGAGGGGAGGGTGATGTCACATGCCGAGCGGGAGAGCAGGGAAAGGATAAAAACGGGAGGGGGAACACAGGCAGGAAGGATGGTGGGGAACGGAGGAAGGTATGGGGGCCAGAACTCAGGGAGGGACGAGAGGGGAGGATAACCCTGACAGGGGTTCTGGTGGCAGGGTCGACAGAGGCCCAGGGTAGGGTCGTGGAGCCTGAGTGGGCGCATTTAGGGGTAAACCCCCGCCTGCTACTACTGGGGACGAGATTCCCAGTGACAGGGCCCTGGGCCGGGGTCTGGGAGCATGGGTGAGCCCGGACCCCCTTCCCTGCCACCGGTAGTCGAACAGCACACCACACCCCGAGGCAGAAGTTTGGCCCTGCTACGGCCACATGACTGTGGGGGACGTGGGTAGTACGGGTAACTTGAGGTAATCGGGGCATGATAGACGTGTAAAATAACTGGACCCAGAACCCGAATAAACATAGATTCATGACAGGGAGGCTTGTGGAAATTCTGTTCACCAACATCTGTTGAGGTTAATTTTGGCTTATAGCTGTTCTCCTCATTGATTTATAACAGGTACAGTCACCTCTGTTTCCAGCACTGGGAAAACTATACGTAAGTTTAAGGGCATGATTCCACTCCCATTAAACTCAAGGGTATGTCTACACTGCAATTAAAAACCTGCAGCTGGCCTGTGCTAAGTGATTTGGACTCTGGCTAACAGGTAACAGGTTTAATTTGCACTGTTTGTGCTCAGACTGGAGTCTAGGTTCGAAGATCCTATGAAGTGGGAGGATCATTCAGAACCACATTAAGTTGTTACAGAAATTATTGTTTAAGGATAGAAATGTAGCCGTGTTAGTCTGGTGTAGCTGAAACAAAAAACAGGACTATGTAGCACTTTAAAGACTAAGGGAGAGGGGAAAAGAGATTTTGGAGTTCCTTCTCTTAATTACACTTTCTGATAAAAGTTACAAATAACTGCCCTCCTCATTTTTATATACTAAGCCTTTTAAAATAATTCTTTAATAACTCTGGGATTTCTTTTTGTCTGCAAATTGAAAAATGAGCCTTTTCTTAAACACACATGCACTGAATGAATTTGGCTTAGAACTGTGGCCTCATGATTTACAGAGACTTAGACTGATGCACAGCAAAAGTTAATTGACATATAAACAGAAAAATTGTGATTGGCACAGTGGGGATGGGAATAAGTAGATACTAAATGATTCAGCAAAAGTTTCCTTAATATGTTATTTAGCTAGATCTCTTAATATACTTGATTATTTTACACAGAATGATTTTGAGTCTTGCATAAACTGTGAAAGTCTGAAGAAACACTTCAATGAATTTTTACAAAGCAGCTTTTCTGAATTAAAGTCCTGTGCTCCATTCATTCATACACAACTGCCATAAGCAACTCTAAAAGAACACTGACCATTTAGAATCTAGGACAACTGAAAAACAACAAAACTTGGGCAACAGACATAATACCACTTTAGAGGAATGTTAACTCTTCATTTAACATAAAATAACAGAGTAAAATTCAAGGAGATCAAGCAGTTCAAGTTTGTTCACCTACCAGAGTATTACTACAAAATACTTCGCATTATATTCAAATCTCAAATCAAATAATATTAGGTAAGGAAGACAGCAATATTACATTTTGATTAAAATTGTATATTTGGTATGTAAAATTCAGTTTCAATGCTTGCAAAAGAAATTGCTACATATTTTTTTCAATCCAATTAGATATTTTCCAGTTTCTGATATATTCAATTGAAAAATATATAACGTAAATATTATTTACAATTTCTTCTTAAAGTATTAACCATACTTTCAAGAGTAGTCTAATACTGAAGCCATTGAGACTTTCCAGCAAGAAATAGATTTTTCCATTCTCAAAGCTTAATGTATTATTAGTAGTATAGTAGAGCCTAGAGGATCCATTGCCGGGTGGGCTGAATCTTCAAGGGATTTGGATTCAATTCTGCCTGTGCCTTGTCATCTGGTCCTAGGTGATGGGTGGTCAGGTTAGCAGGCATCACATGATGGTAGCCCAGGGATAGCCTAAAACAGGGGTGGGAACCTTTTTTTGGTTGGTGGCCATACACAAGGGAGAAACAAAACAAACAAACAACCCCCCACCCAAACAAAAAAAAACCCATGCTCTCAAACATGTGGTCCCCAACTGAGAAGCAGAAAAAAGACACTCCCCTCAAGTGATGGGAAGGAGAATAACCTCCAGAAGAAGAGGCTTGAGGAAACAGCAGCAGCAGGAGCTGGAAGGAACTATGGAGCCCGGCAAAGGGTTGAAGAAATTGGAGTGGGGGAAAAGACTTGTTTTGGTTTAAGTTGATAGCTGAACTGAATGACTGTAATAAACGAGTCCCCAAGAAGGGATGTTATTTGACTTGCACAATTGGCTGGGGACACATTTTAGAGCCTACAGAAGGGGAAATAGAGGCACTGGCAGGGTTCAATGCCAGTTCAAGAGAGACCCTGCTACAAGCATCAAATGAGATTAGGGCATCATGCAAATATATTGGTTATTGACTATTATTGGTTATTGAGCCAGTCCCTGTCTCAAAGAGCTTACAGTTCCAGAGGAACAAAATGACTTCCCCCGGTAATACTGCAATTCTGTGTTAAAGCAGAGACCAGAAGCCAGGTTTGTTGGTTTCTGTCCTGAACTCTAATCAGCAGTGAAAGTAACTTAACATTTCTTACAGGTACTGTCCTATCACAACCCAGGTCCCTGCCAACTCTTTAAATAGCTCTCTGCTGGCTTTTGCCACAGCTCAGCCAGCTCTTGCCAGAGCTGTACATCAGGGCAACCTGGCTTACTTTCACCCTCTAACTCTAACTAACAGTCATTGGTAAAATCTTGCTACTTTTAAAACAGAACAAAATCCCCATCCCACAAACCCTCTCGTTAACTACTATTGGAAAAAAAGAAAAAATAATCTCCTCTCTTGCCAAGTGACTGAAATAAATGGAACTTCAGGCTGGTGTTAAAGTCTATGCTTGTCTTTTAAAGAGTTTTGAAACCATAAACAAACATAATACCCAATCACATAGAAACAGTATTAGTTATATGATTAATAGAAATATGGTCCTTAAGGAACTGCCTGAGGAGCTAGCTGTGTAATTAGTGACCTATATGTCATACTTTACTGGTTTGATAATAAATGATTAAAGGATTAAATGTTAACTTCTACAACGTGTGGTGTTGTGTTTAAGCATAATGTGGCTATTGTTAGTGACTATAAAAACCAAGCACCTGACCGGTTGTGGGTGATATGACGGTTGTGCGTTAAACATCTGGAATGCTTAGAAGTAACATTTTCCTCATCACAGCATTTATAAATGAGGAGTATTACTACAAAAGATGAACCATAGACAGAAATTCTGGACCTAGAATGGATTCCCAATTTCCCCAGAGTTCTGGGGTGTTCAAATGTCAGATTAGGACCATCTCTACTTACTACATTTATTTTAGTAAGTGAAGAGAATGTTGCGGTAGCTAGCAGGAAGGATAAAAAAGGGTCAGTAACCAAAGACAAAAATGTAAGGAAGTGTCTACACATTGAATGAGGGTGTAAATTCTAGAAGGCACTAGTGAATGTTGTGCACTACGAGGTTATGTGGACCATAAGCAACTATAGTATAAGTAATTTGGCAACAGCAGTTTTTAATAGAAATTATAAAAAAAAACCACTGGAGGAAAACCCAGGTCCTATTGAACTCAGTGGACAAAACTCCACTTAAGGGGCAATTGAAGTCAGTGGGTCGAACTTCACTTAATCCTTCCATTTTAACACAGAAAAAAACAAACAAACTTTCATTGACTTCAGAAAGCATCATGCTGGAGTAGAGATTGCAGGAATAGGTCTTTAGTATACTATTTAGTATTTATCTATAGTGTATTTATAACACTGTATACTCAATGAGAATTGAGGGAATTTAAAATTTCATTGGAAGCATTCATCAAATTGCAGGACTAGGTCTTCTGTGAATACCTGTTAACATAAATTCTGAGAATGAGGGATGCTTTCTGAGAATATGATGCCTAATATTTTGTTACTACATGTAATTATTATTAGCAGTAAGTATTTGAGGAAACTTCAAACCAGGTAAAACAAAAGAGAAATTTCAATAATTTTAATATATCACTTTCACGTAAACAGCGACTTAGGTCTCATATTCTGTGAAGTTACAATTACAAAAATTACCATAGCACTCCTCATTTTTACAACAGGAATGTCATATTTATTCCTATTAAGAAGCAAAATCTGATCTATGTTTTGTAAAATAAACACGACAGTTTAAAATTTTATGAAAAATAGACTTGCTTACCTTTAGAAGTTTCCCAGTGTACAAAAGTATCAATTAATGACAATCCTTGTTTATAATAAAATGTGGTTAGTTCTAGCCAATCTGCATCCAGAGTACTAACAACAGGACCTTTTCTTGTTATTTTCATAGACAAAACGCCCTCATGATAGGTCCAGCAAGTAGAGTCATCATCAAAAACATTGAAGATTGTGTATAATTTATTATCTGAAGGGAAAAAAAGAGAAAAAGGTCAGGAAAGTGATGCCTTAAAAAAATACAATTAGGCTGTGTCTACACTGGCATGAATTTCCGGAACTGCTTAAAACGGAATACTATTCCATTTTCAGTTTTTCCGGAAAAGGAGCGTCTACATTGGCAGGCTGCTTTTCCGGAAAAGCCCTTTTTCCAGAAAAGTGTCTGTGGCCAATGTAGACGCGCTTTTCCGGAAAAGAGCCCCGATCGCCATTTTCGTGATCGAGGCTTTTTTCCGGAAAAGACTACTGGGCTGTCTACACTGGCCCTTTTCCGGAACAGTGTTCCGGAATAAGGACTTATGCCTGAGCGGGAGCAGAATAGTTTTTCCGGAATAGTGGCTGATTTTGTACAGTAGAGCGTCGTTGCTTTTCCGGAAATTCAAGGGCCAGTGTAGACAGCTCGCAGCTTATTCCGGAAAAGTGGCTGATTTTCCGGAATAAGTGGCCCAGTGTAGACACAGCCTTAATGTATAAATTACAGTTATGTTTGAATATTATTTGCTATTTTTATTACAAAAATCCATTAAGATTGTCAAATTATTCTTCTCTACTTTTTCACCTTTTTGATATAGTGAGAACATTTTGTTTATAATTTTCATGGTTTCCCTGTCAGTTAGTTAGTCACTTTTCTTTGATTGTATGGATCTTTCACACAGCAACATGGCAGGGAAAAAACATGAACCAAAAAAAAAAAAAAATTCCCAGTAAAATGTAATTGCAGTACCACAAGAATTGTCAGGATGATTCAAAGGCAGGTGTTTGAAACAACTTTAAACTTTTTTTTTAAAACAGACTGTATTGTGAGTTGACAGTGTTCCTTTAACCCATTAAAATCATTACATTCTTTTAGAGAGTCTACTGAAAAAACATGATTTTTTCTCCTTTTTCTGTATCTGGACATTAAAATAATGCTGTTATACTAAATAAACATAACCACTAAAAAGGGGTTCTAGCTGAATTAATTCCACAAATCCAAACCCCTTAGAGTATGTCTACGCTACAGAGAAGATCAAAGCTGCCACTGTCCATTTTCCAGTGTTCGAATTAGCGGGTCTAGTGAAGACAGCTAATTTGAACTGAGAGGGGCACTCCAGTCAATGCAGGTAGTCCTGCTTCCACGAGGAGTAAGAGAAGTTGAAGGGAGAGTGTTTGACCTTTGACTTCCTGCAATGTGGACCGCACCAAAAATCAAGTTAAGGTACTACGACTTCAGCTACACAATTAACGTAGCTGAAGTCGCGTATCTTCATTTGACTTTATCCTGTAGTGTAGACATACTCTTAAAGAACACTGCAGTGGTTATATTAGGCTTTAGATCAATAAATGTTTACTTCATAGGTATATAATTACATATACACATATGCTAGAGATAAACACTGAGATAAACTTCATTTTTGTGAACCCTTTTGACTAACTCACCAACACTCTGCTGAAAAACTGAATCCCCGGAACTACTTCTAACTTTTCTTACCTATGAGCATCTTCAAGCAGCACCATCTAAACCTGCCAGAGAAATGCTTTCTTTCCATCCCGCTACAAAATGACAACTGTCTGAGGTGAAGACGAGGCAATTTGTCTACTCTTTAAAAAAATTATTATTTCATGAGCTCCTCAGAGCTAGAAACAGGATCTCTACATAGGATATATTCCTGGATGTGATGAGGGGTGTGTGGGGAATTTGTTCTGGGACTAAACTATAAGAGTGACTGCACATGGACCTAACTCCCTTTAGTGAATTTGTGCATGGCCAGGAAACAGAATGGAGAAAACTGAAGTAACTGAAGAATACTGGATACCTATATTATTTAGGAAAAACTTAAATAACAATGAATAGTCTAGTAGCACCTTAAAGACTAACAAAACATGTAGATGGCATCATGAACTTACATGTGCACAATCCACTTTTTCAGATGACGGGAGTATTAGAAGTCCAGATCCAAGAATAATTCTCCATGTTTTGTTAGTCTTTAAGGTGCTACTAGACTATTAGTTGTTTTTTAAGTTTTGCCTGTTACAGACTAACTTGGCTACCCCTCTGAAACTTATGTATCATTTAGAAAACTCAGAAGTCTAATGTTATTGAAAGCTGTGCAGAAAAGAAAGATAATTGCCACACTCCTCAACTGCTAAGGGAACTGTATGTTCAGTATTATCAGACCCTTGGTATATCTAGCTATTCTTATCAGTGTTGGCTTATTAATGTTCCACTGTTCAAAGCCTTTTTGTTCGAACTGTACTTCTTAATGGTATTGCTATTTACATTGTTTATTTTATACAGCTTCTTTATATTCCAACATTATCCTTTAAAATATATATAGCTTTTTTTAAAAGGTGACAATGTCCTTTTTAAAATGGTAAAAAGCAATTCCAGTATTTTTCATCTTTTTATTAGCAAGAACATTTTACTAGCAACTGCTAGTAAAGTCACTTCCTTTTTAAACATCTGCAGTTTAGCTTTTGCAGGGAAGTCATGGACAGCAGCCAAAGTAGATATGACAATTTAAGCAAGAATGTACTTATTAAAAATTGGTTGATTATGTAGAGTTTACTGTGATGGGGTTTGTACTTGACAGGGCTGTTCCCCACTCTGGCACTCCATGTACAGAAGATGGGGGCCAGCAAGAACTTAAAAATACCTTGCCTCTATAGACTCTACTTACAAATCTCCCCAGAGTTACAGATTCTTTGTCACGGCCACCATCAAGTGAATTAAACCCTGAAAACCAGGAAGAAACACTTGAATTTCTTCCCAAGGGGTATTCCAAGCTCTTTTGCCACAAGACAGCTTGAACAAACAAGCAAAGATAGACAAACAACAAACTGTGTCTCTGGTAGCTGACCTCTCAGGCTAGGCAGGCACACACACAGACGTCCTGTTACCTTCCAGGCACAAGAATCAAATCATCACCTTAAAAAAGGTGATTTTAGTAATAAAACAAAAAGGTATACTTGATAAAGCATACTTGGTTGCTACCTGTTTCAGAGCAACTAAGAAAAGAACAGATCAAAACATGAAGAAACCCGGTTTCTTTGGGCTGCAGCTAGATACGGCAGATGGGAAAGGGAAGGCTCATGGAATTCACACAGAGAAGTTTAACCAAACACAAAAGAAAGAAAATTACCCTGATTGCAACTAAACATACATTCCTCTCTCTACTCATGATCTGTACTGATCTGTACTTCAAGGCTCAATATTTCTTGTAGGCACGGTAATTCCTTTGATTGCTCCATATTGCTTCCTCCAGCTGTAACTTAGAACTCAACCACAAAGAGAAACGGCAAGGTATATATTTATAATTTAAATTTCAGCACTGTATCCCATTGGTTCTTCCAGCTTCCTGTCAACTCCCCTTAAATCTGAGTTTAACCCTTGAGTCACCAAGTGCTGCCCAGCACTCCTCCTATCCATCACGGTACCCCATAATGATTTTTAAAGGGTTGATGTGGGTCCAAGATACCAATTAACCCTTCTGGTTGCACACAGAAGGTGGGGAGTGCTAGAAACAGGGTCACTCGGACAGGCAGTCAAGTTTCACTCCGCTAGACTGCTTGCTGCAACTTCCTATGGCTTCCCAGGCCAGATCCACAAAGGTACTTAAGTGCCCAAGTCCCAGGAGGCATACCTGGGTGGTCAACAAATACCTTTGATGTCGGCAGGGGAGTGTCCAGACTATCGCGCTGAGCCGACAAACAGCTGATCAGTGCGGCAGCCATGTAAATTTAAATGAAGCGGCGATTACTCTGTCCGGTAGCCTAATCTACATGCCTCTGTCGCCAGAGGCATGTAGTCTAGACGTACCCCCAGTGTAGAGGATAGGCAGTGTGAAGCCCATGAGAAGGGAATGTGGACTACCTGAAGCCCTGAAAAACCATGTACAGACCATTGGGCTCAGAATTGTGTGTTGCAACTGGATGGAGGGATTGGATATTTGTTTTTGTTGGACTACTATCCCAGATAGGGTCTGGTTCAATATGACGTGCTAAAGGGCTGAGCCAGTGGTGCTCAACCTTTTTTAATTCGTGACCCCCAAGGCCAGGAAAACTTTTGTTGAGAAAAAAAAAAAAAGGCGCTGGGAACATTTTGTTGCGGATCCTTTAATTTAAAGTGCCGGTCTGCTCCCCTGCCACTTCCCCGCCCGCACCGCGTATACATTGGGCGCTGAGCTGGGAAAACAAAATGGTGGCCGGCCCGGTGCTGCGAACCCCCCCCCCAGGAAGACAGCCAGATCCATGGGTTGCGCACCGCTGGGCTGAGTCACAAGAAGGGGGCTGCAGTGGTCATCAGCAGGAGATGCTAGAGGAGAAGAATCTGCTGCACCATATCCTGCCTTGATGCAGGGACCCACCGGTGAGTTGACCCTTACTTGTAGTGCTGTGTTCACAGACAACACATGCATACCATAAAGATAGTTTGTCTTCACACTCAATTTTAGATGTTCCAACTGATCAGATCATTTAAGGGCTGGTCTACACTCCGTTTTTTACTAGTACAACTATATTGGTTAGGGCATGAGAAGAGATATAGATAGATTTACTGATATAATTACTCAGTGCAGATAAAGTAGTATAAGCTCCTAGTATGGATGCAGTTATATCTGTTTTAAGGTGCTTATAATGATATTGTTCCTGTACAGTGTAAACCCCTTCATGCCAACATTCAAATCAGGGGCTCATGCTACTTTATCTGTACCAATACTCTTAAGTACTACAACTTAATATAGTTGATGTTTTTGCTTCATGCTTTCATATTTATTCATGTTGGCTGTGTCTACACTGGGCCACTTATTCTGGAAAATCAGCCGCTTTTCCGGAATAAGCTGCGAGCTGTCTACACTGGCCCTTGAATTTCCGGAAAAGCAACGATGCTCTACTGTACAAAACCAGCCGCTATTCCGGGCATAAGTCCTTATTCCGGAACACTGTTCCAGAAAAGGGCCAGTGTAGACAGCCCAGTAGTTTTTCCGGAAAAAAGCCCCGATTGCGAAAATGGCTCTTTTCTGGAAAAGCGCATCTACATTGGCCACAGACGCTTTTCCGGAAAACGGGCTTTTCCGGAAAAGCAGCCTGCCAATGTAGACGCTCCTTTTCCGGAAAAACTGAAAACGGAATAGTATTCCGTTTTAAGCATTTCCGGAAATTCATGCCAGTGTAGACACAGCCAGGAAGTATGAAATCTTAGTGTAATTATCATTTTGTGCAAATGTTTATGTCTACTAGAATTATTATATACCAGTAGCAATGTATTCAGAATTAGATAGTCAAACCTTGAACATATGTTGTGTTCCTAAAATTTGGCTCTCACAAATAAAATTACATGTCTATCCCTGCACAAGGATTGGGATGAATATGGCATATCAAAATAGGATGTAAATGTGCACAGTGACATGCAGTTAGTTGATTTTTTTTCAAAATGTATGCTTGTAACTTTTTAAAAAAAGGAAGTGGGGGTAATATGACACATTCATAAGGAGTAAGTGTTAAATTCAAATAGTCATTATTTTAGAAATGCTAATAACTTCTATGCACACGCGACTAAGGCTACATCTACACTGCATCCCTCTGCCGAGGAGTACAGGATCTGCCGAAAAAGCTCTCTGCTGTCGGCAGAGTCGCGGCTACACTTTACTTTCACTTTCGACATTAAGCCTGATTGGCACAGTGTCGGAACGTGAGTATGCAAATGAAGCCCGGGATATTTAAATCTTGGGCTCATTTGCACATCCGAAGTGCTTGATTTGCATGCCTCTGTCAGCAGAAGGATGAAGTCTAGACACAGCCCAACAGCTGAAGAAAAGTAAGACAAATCCAGGATAGAAATCTTAAGATTCCCATAAAATTGTTTCCATTTGGGAAATGTCTAAATTGATAAAAAAAAATCCATGTATAGAATGCAATGACAAAATAAGATTTCTCACTTTTTTATTACAATTTTAATATTTATATTTCACTAATCATTGAGACTAATGAAACCTGCTCTTCACTTTGGGAGGGACGACTTAAGCTTTGACTGGTTAAAGGCTCAGCATATTGCACAGCAATCATTTAAATGCAAGTATTAAAAGTAAGTATTAAAAGTAATAGAGGGGCAGTGATGGGGTTTCTACCCTGCACTGGCCCTTTATGGGTAAAACCCAGCCCTGGCAGAGGGCTGAGAGAGCAAAACCCCATGCTGAGGCCAGAGCTGCCAATTAGGGCCCAGCTGGGGCTGCATAAATAAGGGCTCCTGGAGGGAGAAGAACACACACTCTTGCTCTAGCTGGGGAGCAGGAGGGACTTGGCTGCCAGGGAAGCTGGAGGCTTCCTGAGACAGGGCAATGCTGGGAAAAGGCAGGCAGAGCTGCAGGGCCAGAGGCAAGGCCTGAGTGTACTAAGGCTGCAGGGCAGAAGCATGTCCACACCCCTTGCCAATGATGAGTGGCCATTCCAGACTGCAGTTTGCCAGGGCTAGAAGATAACTAGCAGTGGGTCACTGATGCAAGGTGGGTATGTGGGAACTGGGGGTTCCCTGGAAGGGGAGGACCCCAGAGTGCAGACACACAGGATTGTTGATAAACCAAGGAAGGAGATAAGAGACAATTGTAGTGGGCACTGCTGGAGGGCAGTGTCCCGAGGGGGATGCCGCAGTCTGGGAGTGACGCGGGTCCAGTGTCTGATCTGAAACAGAGCCGAGTGATAAGGGAGACACCAGCCAGAGAGAGGTGCCCTGCTGACAAGAGCTAATTCCCAGAGCTACCAGCAGGAAGAGCCAGGGCGGTGAGTTCTGCCCCGTGATAGGGACATTGCTATTCTTTGCAGTCCTTAAATTAAGGAGAGTTCTTGCTTCTTAGCAGGAAAGTGAAAAAATTGCATTTGAATTTAATTAGAATGTTTCCGGTACATAACGGAAGAATTCACTATGCTAAATAGTCATTTAAAATTCCATCTATTAGGTATCAGATGGGCAAGATTGACAGGTGAAAGAAGGATTGACAGACTAAAAATACCTAACTAGGGAAACTCATTTGTTCTTCTCTCTGTTTCCCACAAAGGGCACATTTCAATAGAAAAAAGGTCTGTTCTTAACTTGTGTTATCTACACATGGTAACTAATAAAAGATCCTAGGGTATATCTAGACTACATGGCTCCGTTGACGGAGCCATGTTAATTAGTTTATTCGGCATAGTCCAGAGTTTACCTCAAACTGATAACTCATATTACAATTACAAATTACCATGTCTTCACTAGGGTTGTGTCTAGACTACATGGCTCCGTCGATGGAGCCATGTAAATTAGTTTATTCGGCATAGTCAAAGAAGCAGAGATTTAAATAATCCCTATTTCATTAAAATAAACATGGCCGCCGCACTGTGCCGATGATCAGCTTATCCGACACAGCGCAGCAGTCTAGACGCAGATCTGTTGGCTGGGGAAGCCTTTTCCGACCGATCCTGTAAACCTCATTTTTGAAACGTTGATTGGGAAGATAGGTGCATGCTGTCATAGAGTCTATGTGAGCTCTTATGAACTCAAGGGAACTCAAGTAGATTTTGTTCATTGATAATGAATCCTAGAGACTGAAGGAAGGCCTTTGTGAATCTGATCATGACCTCAGATGCGGCAGTTGTCCAAATAAGAGAAGATTGTGATGCCTTCTCGATTAAGGTGTTCTGCTGCAACTGCCAGGGTCTTAGAAAAGATTCTGGGGGCAGAGAAGAGTCCGAATGGGAGGACTCTGTATTGGAAATGGTCTGATGCTACTGTAAAGCGTAGGAAACATGTACGTGCGCAATATATTGTGATATGGAAGCATGCATGTTGGAGGTTGAGGGCTACAAACCAGTCACCTCTGTCCAGTGTGGGAATAATCATGGTGAGCATAACTATTTTGAAGCGCTGCTTGTGCAGGTATCTATTCAGTTGACGGAGTTCTAAAATAGGCCTCCAATCCCCTGTTCTCTTTTTGGTGAGAAAGTAATTTGAGTAAAACGCTCTCCCTTGGTATTATTTGGGAACCCGTTCTATGGCTCCTATGTTGAGAAGATGTTTGACTTCTTGGCAGAGCATGGTTTTGTGAGAAGGGTCTCTGCAGAGAGAGGGAGAAAGTGGGGAAGTTGGGGCTTTGATATGAAAGGGATAGTTTACCCAGAACTGATGAGTTCTAAAACCCACCAATCTGTGGTGATTGCTGCCCACTAGTTGTAAAAAGGGCACAAATGGTGGTGGAAGATATTGGATTCGCCTGGCACTGGTGTGGAGGGGAGGTTGGGTAGACCCTCAACAAAATTTTCAAACATTTTCGCGCTCCAGACATTGATTTCGGCCTCCGCGGCCCGGTTCGGCATTTTCGGCTTCAAAAGTCGATTTTGGCCATTGCGGCCTGGCATTTGTGGATGTCGATTTCGAGCTGCTCAACCCTTCAACTTCATATTGCTAACTGCACAGCCCTATTTGTGAATCACGACTTTGACAATTATGCAAAACTGACAGAGCTCATGCACCATCTCCCAGATGATAAAGACACCCATCTTCAAAGCCATCATTAAAGAGGGATATAGTATATCTCGCATAGCCCTGCAGATCGCCCTCAATGCCGCTGACACCGCAGCAAGAGATATGGCAATGTCCATAGTAATGAGACGCTCATCCTGGCTTCAAGCAGTGGGAGTTCCTAGGGACCTACAGGCCAAGGTAGAAAACCTACCATTCAATATGGAAAAATGGTTTGCTGCAAAGACCAATGAAGCTTTGCATTCTAGCAAAGATTCAGGCACCACGTTATGTACATTGGGGATGAATACCTTCCCCCCCATTCCCCACCCCCACTGAAGGAAATGCTGTAATCCCTACCAAAGACATAGGGACACAACGTTTGGCAGACAGCAGCAGCACCAACCATTTGACCAAACTCAATTCAGACCTTGAAACCAATGAAGAAGTGCCCCAAACACATGCTCTTCCATGACTCAGGCCTATTTATTTATATATTTAGGTGTGTCGCATCTTGGAGCTGTGCGGCAGTAAACTGTCTGACTAACTATATACAAACTGAAGTAAAATCACTTTTTTTTTTAACTATGAACTGTTTAACAAAGGAAAAACTAACAGGAATAGGTAAGTCTACAATATCTATCTACATTTTCTTTCTTTTGCTTCAGAAGTGATGGAAGGAGAAGAGAGGCTGGAGCTCCATTCGTAGCCAAGAGTGGCGAAGAAGGAACTGACAGGAATCAGGCTGCACTTGCTAACTTCAAAAGTGGGGGCAACACATGCACAAGAGACTGGGGACTGCTGTAAAATTTCGATCTGTGGTGCCGGGACGAGCCTGACACCAACAGTAGAACACCCACAGGGACATCACTTGAAAAAGAAATATTGTTATTAAGTTCTGCTTTATAATTGTTATCTTTTTTTCTATAACTCAGTGTAATTATGCAGCTCCTGCAATAAACAAGTACTGTTTTATTACCTTCTTTTCGTGATTTAGTAGGGCTGGAGCTGCCTTCTTTTCCAAATTGGAAATCAGTATCCTGTAACTGTCCCCTTTCTGGCTGAATTTCTTCCTCTGAATGGTCAGTCATCTGAGAGTGAAATAAAGTGCCTTCATTCCAGTTTTTATAGTTTTCATCATAATTATATTTCCTGTGCTCTCTACTCCTGATGAATAGTGCTGATTCAGAGTCCACATTTCCATCTGTATTTGTGCCATTACAAAATTTAGGTTGAGGAAAATGCTGTGTTATAAATCCAACAAACTTCTTCCCTCTTTTAGCAGCTTCATTGACCTGTATGTATAAAACAAAATGATTCTGAAACTTCGTGAATTTACAAGTACCTGTAGTAGATAAGAAATTTCTATGATATACATATTCATAAATTAAAATGTTGATTTGGAAGCAAATATCTTCAAGACACAATGTACTTATGGACTGCTGAGTTCTAAAGTTATTATTTTAAGGCAAATACCAGCTTGATTCTACAAGCTCTCCATGTATTGAAGTCAATAGGAATTCTGCAAACAGTGTACTTTTTATGATTAGACCAAGAAATGTGTTGAAATAACAGCTAGTAACACTAACTTAAATGTATATACAGTACAACTCTTTTATTCAGCACTCAGTTAATGAGAAGGCTCAATTAACTGCTATTTCTGATATCTCCCAATACAAATCTTCAGTCTAATAACTGGGACTAGTATACCCCTAACACAACATGTAATTGCATATTCTGCATTCTGCTTTTATGAAAAAGAGGCAGAAGACAAGTAAGCAAGCTGAAATCAGGGATTCATTCAAAAAAGGAGCTTCCAGGGTAATTACAGATTCAGCCCAAACTCGTACACCTACAATGATAATTGATGTTGAAGGTGACGAACCATGAAGCACTGCAAAATCCTGAAGTATCTTCTGAATCATAAAGCAAAATTATATTTCTTTCAGTCTCGCTTTAATGTTAAGTGTATTTTTAGTGATCTGGGTATACGCCATGTGCTGCCCAGAACTTTACCTAAGTGCTTCAATAAACCAACCTCTCTGCAGTGCACTCGAGGTTGGACCCCTCTCGTCCAGCACCCTCGGGACTTGACCGGTCTCAAAGGAGGGAGTTTGCTGGATTCAGGGGAGGTTGGCCCCTCTGCTGACAGATTCCAGGCTCTCCTGGGATCTGTCAGCAAATAGCCAAAGATCCCCTGCCCCTGGGCCACTAGGCTCCCAGCTCCTCGGCCAGCTCCACAGCTGCTGGGGCTCCACTGCACCAAGGCCACCGGGGCTCTGCTGCTCTGGGTCCGCTGGTGCTCTGCTGTTCAGTTTTGAAAAGATTTACTGTACAAGTAATCAAAAATAAATATTTCTATAAAACCAACACTTTGGCACCACCTGTTGTAATTTACAGAATGAGATGAGACAATTTATTTGAAAATTACTCTACCAATATCAGTTTTATTTGAAAATATTATTTAACAAGGAACAAGGGAATATACATCTTCAGATTACAACACAATTTCTAGAAGGAACTTCCAAATCACATATCCCTACGAAAAGTTCGATGATAGTTGCCTGAACCATGAAAAACAACAAAATAAAGGCCATCAGAGGAAACCTTTGTTTGAGTTAAACGGGTTCAAGACAAGTGTCCTAAACAAAAAGAAGTGCTGAAGGAGAAAAGGCAACACTTCCTTCTTACATAAGCAAATGCCTTGTTAGTTTTTATAAGCCAGAAAACTTGAAAACTTGAAAACTGAAAATAATTAACCTGTAAATGTAAATACATACGTTAGTTAAAAATCCTGCGAGCAGAGAAGTTAAAAAAATTGCTAAAATTGCCATACCTTTTCTAACAATCCTTTCACTACCTCATTTGTCAGTGTTTCATACGTTAAAGGACATTCCTCAATCACAAGCCTGGGGTGTCTTTGTCTTCTGGGTGCTGTATGCTTCTGGCTGGAACACAGAAAGAAAGCAGTCTTTGTCAACTGCTTGCTGCTAACTTGCACAAAATGCTTCCATGTAGAATTCTTTTCTTTTTTGAAAAGGAAGTTATGAATGAAATCTTGGCAATACTTTTTCACACTTCTGCTTAGAAGTGACCCTTCCCCATGATTACAAAAAGTATTAGGTACTGAGCCTTACTGGGAAAGAAAACATATTCATACTTAATATAATTTTTGTTTGTAAGTTCTGTGTATTCATTTTTGGAAAATTCCTGTGGAAAGAAAATAGGAATCAAACTTTCTTTTTAGAAGTGCTTTAATGATGTTATCTTATGAACAGCTGGGTAAAGAGCATAGGGGCAATTGAAGCATATATGGAGTATCCCCCTAGAAGCATAGAACTTCTAGAACTTAGAACTTGCATCCAGGGATGAAGGACAGAGCACACGGTGTTCATTTGTACCACTATTGTATTCCCTTTTCGCAGGTGCACAAGAAGTGGGACAGAAGGAGGGTAGGCAAAACTAAACTATGGAATGTTTCCAAAAAGTCACGTTACATGTCGTTCTTCCTGTGCAAAGCAGAATGAGAAAAAGTGTGCACTCACTTGGACAAGTACCTAAAAATACAGGAATTCCCTTGATCATTCTTACACGTTCAAGAGTGATTGAAAAAGACTTCTGCAGAGTGGATAAAATCAGAGTATGTTAAAAAATATTGTTAAGAAACACTAAGTGATCTCCTTCATCTAATCCTGTGGACACAGATTTAAAAGGTAAAGTATGCAGCTTGCACAAAAATTGTATCTGGTTAGATTTAAGATTAAGAAAATAGGGGAAGCAGACCAAGATGTTCATTCACAAAAAAACAGTATGTATAGCAAACCCTTTGTTTTTCTACCATGAAATACAAATACCTTGAAATTCCCAATAAGTGGATTAAGGACTGGAGCAAAGGGTCTCCCACCTCCCAAGACAATACCCTAATCAGTGGATTAAGTTATGAGGGCATCCTTCCTACCCATCCCCAATGTCAGAGGCGGATATAGGGCAGAGCGAGTGGGGCGGCCGCCCCGGGCCCCATGCTTCAAGAAGCCCCACGCATGCACGTGATGCCACTGTGCATGCGCCGTGTCAAAGGGGGGGCCCCGTGAAATTGTGCTGCCCTGGGCCCCGCAAAATCGTCATCTGCCCCTGCCCAGTGTGATACTGGTTGGCCATGTGCCAGTTCAAGCCAATGTCCCCATGATTCAATTCAATACTGACAAATAAGTAGCTGGAATCAGTCTAGTTCACCTGTATATTAATATTGTTAACATAGGCATTAGAATGAAAAAAATGTGTTTAGAGTTTAGATTTTATGGAATGCTTGTAAAATGCTACCTGGATTAATCTCATTTAACATAGTTGAGCATTTGTATTGTAAGTCTCTGTTACTATGTGAATCACCAGACAGGCAAAATATATTAATTAAAGATATTAATTAGTGTGAAATTCTGGTATCCAACTAAAGGTGTTATGGCCTGCCCAGCAGGGAAGACTCATCAACACCGGATTAACTACTGTGGAACATGAAAACAATGAAACAATTTGATTTCTCTCCCATCTCCTCTAAAGATGGGTCATGCAAATGAATTCCTCCCATCAGTTGACTTTGCAACTCAGAGCTTAAGTGGGGAAGGGACTAAAAACCCCTAATAAGAAGTAACTATATCTCTATGATGCTTGGACTTTGTGGGGCAAGGTTTTTGAAGCATAAGCAAAAAAAACCCTGATGCTTAGCATGGATTATCCCTAAAGGATATATAGAGTTTGCTTCTGTTATCTTTTGACATTTAAGATTGCAACTCATTTTGTGTGTATGTCATCTGGGTTAGGCTTGTAAAGATCTCTTATTTCCTTTTCCTATACAATAAGCCTTTAGATTATTTATTATAGGACTGCCTACAAGCACTGGTTTTTGTGTGAGAACTAAGGTGCAATTGACTGGTCTTTTGAAACTGGAAGAAACCTTAATATTGCTATGATTCTTGGTGTAAAGGACCATCTATCACAAAGGTATGCTAACCTAAGTGGCAAGACAGATTGGAGTACCAAAGGAGACTGTATGTGACTCCACATTAAGGCTGTTTTATTACAAGTTTACACTTGATAATTGGTTGGTGAAATCTAATTATAGATCTCAGAACCAATTTAGGGTTTGTGTCCTGTTTCTCTACAATCTCCCTTGAGGCTGGTACTTATGCTGTTGAGCCAGTGCAGGACAGCTTGATGTCAGTCTTCTTGCTAAAGTTCATAGGTACCGTAACTCAAAAGAGATTTTTCTGGCTTACAAAGATAAATACTTCTCTGTAGTCTGCTTAACTCACCTAAAACCAGAGGGAGGGCTTAGAATACACTCCTCTGACCAGCATTTCCCATTGGCTAGTTCCTTGCATAGCCTGCCTGTCTTTGCAAATGACATTCCAAGGTGCCTATCTCTCCCCATGCATTGTTCAGGAGTCTAGACTCCCAATTCAGACTTTGAATTGCAGTGATTTATACAGGTACCCAGAAGGTAGGTGATGGAAAGCTCAATGTCGCAATGCCTAAATCCTTTCAAGCAGTCAGCTCTTGGTTCATCCTTGAAGGTGTTTTCTAATGTCCTGATTAGCATTAAAAGTTAAAAGGAATGCTTGTTAAAATCCATTTGGAATTTTTTAAAATATTAATGAAGCAATGTATTCTATGTAATTAAATTCAAATAATTTTTCTCCTCGGCATATGTTACCTTAATTTAAGTCGTGATAGTACCACTCGATACAAATAACTTGCAGAAAAGTGCTTTCTTCGCCCGATAGGTAATATAATAGGATGAATTGCTCCTACAACATATCCTTTGATGTAATACTCTTCCACTTTTGTTGCTATGTCCAACACAGAACTGATCTTGATAACTTCTGGATTCGAGGATGCTAAAGAAATTGAATGAACAGAAAACATGGACATTAGGCACAAGTGTTACCCAGTATGCAAATGTTCATACATATAAATAATCTACTTGCCTATATCTTACGATAGCTGTACAGATATACAAAATATAACAGATGCATAGTTAATCAGGAATTATGTTGGAATAGTAAAAACAGTGATAAATTTATACATCTTACAAAACAGAAAGATTATAGTAACTTTTAATTAGTTTGGAAACGATATAATGATCTGTCTGGCTTTATTAATACTGTATAAGAGCTGTGTCAGCATTTCCTTCCTGAGGAAAAGGAATAGGATGAAAAGGGAACAGAACAAAAACTGTTTCTAAAATGGGGATACAGACTTTGTTGCACTGGTTTACTTTGAATCAATTGTTAAATTAATTTGGTTAAAATAGTGCAAACTTCTGTGTGGACACTGATTTTGCTTTGAGTAGCTTGAAATAAGTGTGGGTGAGAGTGAAATAAGTATCCATGTAGAGGTTTGCTCCAGCTTAACAAAACCAATTTCAAAATCACACATTTAGTTATACAGTTCACCTTTCTTGCACAGATAAGACCACAGACACTTTAATATCATGCTTATCCCTGCCCAAATTAAATCTAATGGTGTGCAGCAAGGGGTCATATTATGTCATCAGTGTTAGCAGACTTTCTCCTGGTCACAGTGGGGAGTTGTGCTCAAACAAACTGTGAAGGCTCAATATAGTCAAATTTTCCATTTGAATTAGCAGAAACACAATACTTTTGGAGGCACGTTTCATTTTGTGCTGGGGATGACCCATAGCTTTTGTACAGCTAGAAAGAATTGTTTTGTGATGTTCACAATTTGAAATATTTGTGCATGGGCGATGGTCTAATTTTCAGAAATGCTTAGTACTTGCTGCTACCCATTGGCTTCAGTTGGAGATGTGGATGCTCAGCCTCTATGAAAATCAGGCAATCGGTATTTACAGAAGGCAGATCTACTCTTCTCATTTGCAGTCCCAGAGACAGTTGTCAGTATTATGTTTATGATCCCTCTGCGCAACTGTGGATTCTAGAGAGGAGATTGTTTTGACTGGAATTTGACACTCTTCAGCAGTAACACCTGTTGCAAGGCCTTTAGTTCATTTTAGAGTTCTTACAGTTCTTAGTTTTTTCATGATACTTTTGGTGAATGAAGAGAAGGAAAGGATAATGTTGTTCAATAGCATCCATGTGTGTCTCAGAATGGAATTAAACGCCAAAACCATGATGGCAATTTTAGGAAAAAACACTTTTTAAGTTCTGGTTTAGGATTTTTCATTGTATGTCTCTCTCCCTCAAAAGAAAATAACCTAAGTTGAAATGAATTCACTCTTCTTTGCTTTTACATTGGCCTCTTTGATATAAAGAGGAAAAAGTACATAAACCACAATGATAATATTCCATATACCACTTTGTATATGGTTCAATTCAGGTCCTCTGTCTCCCTTCTTAATCACCTCCCCAGAAAAGAGATGAGTTCTAGCATGTTATACTCGTGGCACCATGTCTTCTCCCCAGATGTAAAGGGTCTAACATACAGGTCAGAGAATAGACCCAATTTTCATATTTGATGTAAACACACGTAGAATACGATACTGACCATGACAACAACAGGGAGCCCTGTGACCCCTTAAAGACCAACAGATTTGTTTGGGCATGTGCTTTCATGGGCAAAGGCCACCTTATGAGATGCATCAGATAGGGTATGTCTACACTACAGCGCTAATTCGAACTAACGCATCCAGACTAAAAAACTAGTTCAAATTAGCGTTTTGCTAATTCGAACTAGCATGTCCACACAGAGTAGACCCTGAACCGGGGTTAAGAATGGTCGGAAGCAGTGCCGGCAGGGCATCAGATGAGGACTTAGAGCGTGGAGCTGCTGCCTCAGGCTAGCCAAGGGCTGTGCTTAAAGGGACCCGACCCCCACCCCGGACAGACAGTTCTCAGGAGTGCCCACACTGGGCACATCACAGCACTCGGCTGTCAGACCGGCTGCACTTGCCGCAGGCTGCCATCTGGGGAGAGGGGGCAATTGGGGGGCTGCAGGAGAGCTTCCACACCCAGAAGCCCGCAGAGCCAGCCCAGTCCTCCCCATCGGGGGCTCGTACCCCATTCCTCCCTCACCTCCTTCCACTTACCCTTCCCTAGCCCCCCTTCCTGATGTACAAAATAAAGAAAACGTGTGGGCAAAAATAGAATCTCTCTTTATTGAACAAAACTCGGGGAGAATGGGAAAAGGAGGTGGGAGAGGGGAAGAGAGAGGGTGGGAGAGGGGAGGGCAACTAAAATGATCAGAGGTTTGGAAGAGGTCCCATATGAAGAGAGGCTAAAGAGACTGGGACTTTTCAGCTTAGAAAAGAGGAGACTGAGGGGGGATAGGATAGAGGTCTATAAAAGCATGAGTGGGTGGAGAGGGTGCACCAAGAAAAAGTTCTTCATTAGTTCCCATAAAGAAG